ACCTCGAGCCGATTATATATATATTATAAATATAATATTAATTTTTTAATGTATATATGTATATATGTATTAATATATCAGGGAGATATTGGCAGCTGGACAGATTTGTGACACAAACAGCGGGGTTTGTGTCGACCTTCATTTGGTCTCAGACCAATTTTCAACCAGCGGTGGGGCATTACCCCAGGGATTCATAATGACAACTTGTCTAATATTGACGTCTATTTGTTGTATATTACCTAATGATCTCGGTTAATGTTTCTGACAAATAATGACAAGTATTGACTAATATGTCATTGTTACCCTCGATTAAATATAAATTATTTATATATATATATATATATTATATACATATTATATATTAAACCATCGAGCTCAGAAATTAATCGACTGACAGATTCCTGTTCCAGCCATATTATATCTCTATATATATATATTTGATAGTATATATATATATGGCACAGGATTTATTTTCTTGCCTCTAGAAGATTGCGTAGCCGCTGTATCATGGCCGCATGCTCGACTATTTTGGGTCCGCTCAGTGGCCATTTACGATCAGACATACGAGTCTTTATTCGACCGCGATGTCTCGTGCCAGCCTCGCACTATTTTATATCCCTACAGCATCTAGAATTGACCAACGTCCCTCGGGCTTTATGGGTGGAATACCCGATTGCGCAACGTTATCAGAGTGTAGAGTTGCAATGGAATTTAAATCTGCTTGTCGGCCCGCGTAATTGGTATTTTAGGCGTTATTGACGATCGAAATGTGCTGTTGGAATTTAGCTGATTGTTTGTGGGACGAGCATATTGTTTCGTGTGATATAATGAATATTGGTACGCCGGATGTGGTCCTCCTGTGCTCCGGTGCCGGTGCCGGCTGCGTGCTGGAAGTGCCCGGTGCGGTGCGGTGCCGGTGCCGTGCTAGGTGTCCCGGTGGGATGCGGTGCCGGCTGCGGTGACCGGTGCGGGGGGGCCGGTGCGAGAGCCGGCGGAGGCCGCGTGCTGGGCTGAGCGGCTGTACGGTTGACGCGCGAGGTGAGGGCACGGTGGCGATGGAGGTCAGAGCGCGGACGCAGTGCGGTGATCGGTGATGTTGGCGGTGGTGGCCGGGCGGCGCACTGCGTGGGTAGGCAGCGTGGGATAGGGGCGGGGGGGGTTGCAGTACGATGAGGTGCCGGTCGGGGTGCGGTTGGGTCGGTGGCGGTGCGGGAGATAGCGAGTGTTGAGGGAACTGTGGTGCGCCGGTGCGATTAGAGGTGCGTTCGTTGCGATAAGCTTGGTAACGTGTGTGTTGAGGTGGCCTGGTTGTCAGGTCTTTGAGATTTTGTTACAACTCGGGTGGCGGACTAAAGGTGTACTGTTAGGGAGTTTAGTGGTCGTCTTGTGTGGGTGCCGGGAGGTGCGGGTAGAGGAGGCAGGCTTATTCTGTGTGGTAGGACGTGCGATTCGTGAACGACCATGCGTTGTGTAGTAGGGCAGTGTTATGAATAACATTAGGGATAGATTATTAGTGATTACGGTAGTAAGCACAAAAGTATTCAAACGTAGCGGCTTACAAAAGCTGAATTGTGGTTGTTTAGTGTCGAGTTTCCTGACTATTTCATTGATAAAATGGTGTTGTTGAGCAGCAGGCATTAACTATAACCAATGATTAAATCAATATTAACAGGTTGTCTATGTACATGTTAACAGTAACGTCTTCTCTTTACCTCTCTCTCTCGCTATACCTCTCTCTCCCTCTCTCTCTCTTCCTCTCCCTCTCCTTCTCCCTCACCCTTAACCTCACCCTCACCCTCACCTTCACCCTCACCCTTACCCTCTCCCTCTCCCCTTTCCTTTCCCTCTCCATCTCCATCTCCCTCTCCCTCCCTTTCTTCTTTCTTTCGTGCCCTCCTCTCACACACGAACGCATTTGCATAAAAGAAACGGGTCTGGTTTTATATCAGTGTAAATAATTATACTGTTCCTCATTTTGATACATCGTATCTTTTGATACATTTTATCTATTCGTGTACTGAACTTGGCATTAATATTTCGGCCAGCGATGAAAGGAGGGGTGCAGTAAATTATAGTATGAATGTCGTAAAACCTCAATCCATCTTTCGCACGTCACAAGTGTTGTTTACCGTTGAAGTTCATGAGAATGCGAGCCTTTCGCTATCGCGAAGGACAGTCTGGTCTGATGTTGCCTTCATTACAATTACAGTCACATGGGCTAGCGCGGCATCAACACGCACAGAGCGTCTGAGCTGTCTATTTTCGTGCTAGGAAGTCATGCGCATGCGTGGAGAGAAGTTAAACAGGATCTATTTGGGTAATTTTGTCGTTCCATATAACATGTTTGGGATATCATATGATATATGATTACGGAGTTCGCTTAATCATCTTTACGTGAGATCATGAAGCGAATGCGTAAATCGGAGTAAACACATGCTCGTGTGCGTGCGCGCGAATGCACACGTACGCGCATGTCACTCTAAGCGCGTGCATGCGAGCGTGCGCGCGCGTGTATTCCAGTGTGCGTGCGCGCGTGTGCACTATATTCGAAGCGATAAATTTAGGAATGCACGTAATTATATATTCATATTAATTATGATAATTGATATATAATTGTAATTATCTATGTATAAGGGAACGTGAAACTACCTCAGGAATGCGACGGACAGACGGGTGGGGAAAAATGTAAAAGGCACCGAGGTGAAATAATCCACACGCTCCTCCTCTCTCCTCGTCCTCCTCCTCCTCCTTCCTATACTCCTCTCTCTCCTA